CTTTGTTTGTTTGCGACCCAGATACCAGCACATGATCTGATCGGGAACTGCAGTAGAAGTTGTTGAAAATGCGTATGCACCATACTTGTCTCGATTGCGAGCCAGTCTTTTGACTGATATTTTTTGCTGTTACGCTACTAAGGTCCCTGTAGTTTACGAAGTTCTTCACAGACGCTGACGGACGGGAGATAGACAGAGTAATGAGACTGGAACGTGACGGAAATGTTTTTTATCTTGAACGCCTATTCCCGGTAGAAGCACATTACTGAAAAGAATTAAGTTTCGCTGCTGAAATAACTTGTTTGAATTTTTCTTCGTCACACATGAGTAAGTGGGTTATCGTGTCCTTTTAAAATTTCCGTATTTTCCTCCGGCTCCCATTGCACCGTGAAAACAAGAAGTCCAGAAAGGGACGTGCGACATTTTTAAAGGTGCAGCGGAGTTTGTACTAGATCCCATTCAAATCCACGCCCTCAGTAGTGTTCGAAATGCCGCCGTCGGTCGGGGTCTTTCAATGATCTCATTATACTGAACTGAAATCAGCCAAATAATTGAATGCACACTACGATATGCTTACTTGATACAATTCGAGGTTGAAATTGTTAGCGTCTCGTGTTGCAAGTCGTAAACATCAAGAAAGTTATATTTTTTTTAATTATCAAACTACGCTCCATTCTAAAACAAAACGGCCTGTTCCAATAATAATATTTCGGATTAGAAGGAATACATTGTGCATTTTAATTTTTCTCATTTTTGTTGTGTTCATGTAGGCCCTAATAAAGTTCTTTGTGCGCTCATTGAAATTGATCTTTAGTGCATCACAAATGTCTACCCTTATATTTCTGATTTTTATTTGACTGTTTTCAAATAGCTTTGTACATGCTTTTGTCTCGTGTACTTCGCAAAGTTAGTTTTCATGGTGCCTAAACCTTCATTGTAAATAAATAGGCCCTATACCCCCATTTCTCTTCGCAGACGCTCCCCTTTCCACTTTATCAATTGTCGTCAATGAAAGAACACGTAAATACGTGTAAGTACATTCTGACTAAGGAATCCTCTTTACTGTTCCGATCTGACATGATGTTGAGTACCGTCATGTATCGTTCTCAAAACAATCGTTTATCTACAGTGATTTAATCCTAATCTCACACTTTGGGGGTCAAACAAAGAGCAGATGCTGATGTACTAACACTGCTCCATGCCACGGAGGCAGGGACGAGGTTCGTGTTCCCAGACCTCTATGCATGCTACGCAGGTGGTTGGAAGCTTCAGCGTCCAAGCTAGCATACCGTTTTTAGAGGTTTCGCCGCGGTGACCTTTTCCTTCTTTGTGTTTCATTGTTGATGTAACAAATACACGACAACCCTGTGATGACAAAACTTAAAACACATGACGATTACAAGAATGAGCAACAGTTCAGGTCATAATCTGACCGGATCCCAGTAATTGTAGCCTACAGCGTGTGCCTGAACAACATGGAGCATTTAAAAAGTTGAGGAAAAATCATTCAAACAATAATATGTAATAATAAGGGGTGTGTCCCAATTTTGTTGCACATCATAGAGAGAAATTGATATTTGAACAAAGTTCGTGTCACTGGCCTTTAAAGCAAGATGGGCAACATGATTGTCACGTAACTCCTGAGCCATTTGTGTTTGCCAGAGGGGGGTCCGCCAGTTTGGCATCTGAAACAAAATCAAACTCAGTCTGATTCCTTTATTCCCTACTTCCCATACTCTTTACTTCTCTCGGAAAACTCGGCGGAAAACTGGATGTAGAAAGATTGTGGGATAATTGCCATGCCTCATGTTTATTCCATGTGAAGTATTTTCTTTGCAAGGAGGATTTTTTACAGGGTTATACCCATAACACACATAAACATCACGAAGATATTACAAAATTCCTGCAGTAATACTGTCTTGCAGACGGTGGGTGTGACTTGTTATTTCTGTTTCGCTGTGTTCGTGTGTTGTATTCGTATAGGAATAACATAACAGAAGTGAAAAGCTATACAAATGCAAAAGAAGAAACTTGGAGAAACAAATATAGGAATTCATGTTTACACAGCAAGACAATCAGTGCTGACCAAGGAAAGAAAGAAAATGGTCACGGAAATTATTTCCTTTTTTTCGTTTGCAGTCTTATTATTGAGTTGAACACACTGTTGTCTGTGTGTATTCCATACATCACTTAATCGTGGTTTGAATTGCGGGTGTATCATGATGGATCTGACTGAGGGTTTTCAAGTGGGCAAGGTGTTAGGGGAAGACGTCTTGGCGAGGCCTCGCCGCACATGAGTACCATGCATCCATGCAATCCTTGTTAACATGTTCAGCAAAAAGCTTTGTATCGTTTATTGACCAAACCTATTGAATGCCTTCCTAAAATAGTTAGAGACACACCCTCAGTATATATTTTTTGTCGGGAAGGGTTCCGTTGTTTCTTTGTTTGTTTTTATGTGTTTTCCCCTGTTGGCAGAAGACCCGATATGACAAGAGTTGTGACAAGGACTTTTACGGAGGGGGCCTTTTTTGCAGGTTAATGATTTACACAAATTACAGACTAGGGCCTACTCACGTCCGCATCGGACATATAAACTAGACTTGCATGTCAGCCGGTCCCCTGTTAATGCCATTAAAGTCGGCTTGTCGAGTCCGGTATCGCGTACCTTGCGTGCAAATCAAACTGAAAAGCGAAGAGTTGGATGTTGACGAGACACCGAGCCTGTATCTGCTGACAGTGTTACAGCATATCGAGCGAGGAACATGGGACGGTAGGTGGCCTTGGTGTGATGGGTCGACATCCTCAAACCGCATTTAACATCCGCCAACCAAACGTCGCGGAGACAGTGATCGCTTTCACACTCTATAACTTTCAAGTTGTTCTTCTTTTGTTTTGTTTCTTTTTTCTTTACTGCAGAGCAAATTGCGCACCTACAGAGCTCGGGGAAGGGATAGGCATCTGTATCTCCACCAAGGGAATTGCGAATTATTTAAAACCGTCTGTTTTGTTGTATTGCGAAGTCATGTTAGGGAAAAGATGATGGGTAGTAATGCTGCTCTTCGTTTGACAGTATACAGAGACCTCACTGAAAAATTGTGTTATCACTGATAGCTGTTCAGTCGACAGCACTCGCAGCCAAACGAAACTGTAGCAACTTTCGCCTCGCGAATTTTTCCTGAGTGTCGATTTGGACTCTGCAACATTATTATAATTATATACCGTACCTTGTAGTTGTACACGCACGATAAAATGTCATCAGTCTTCGCTTTTAGTATACGTAAAGATTGGTGCATACATAAGGCAAATGCAGAATCGGAAACGAAGCGAATTTGACGTCCCTGAAAATGTGCAGCGAAATTTCGCCCGAATTGAAATGCATTCAACCTGTGCAAAATTCGCAGCCGGAATATTTGATCCGACGTCACAAATTTGCGTTAGCAAAGCCTCAACTGGCCTTTAGTGCACTGTAGTGAGTGATTTTTTAAGTACCATTTGGCAGTCCATTATATTTTTCTTTAATCTGTTCCATGGTAAATTAACTTAACTTCATATCTGCATTCATTTTTTTGAAAGAGAGACACAATATTTCCATTAATTTTACCCGCCTTCACTTTTTTCTAGGGTACAAAACTAATGAAGACTCAAACTGAACTAATAAGGGTACAGTATTAAAACTCAACCTGTTTTTGTAGTTGGTACCTAAGCAAATTATATAATGGTTGTGATGAGTCTTGAATAATTCTGCGAACCTTCAGCAGAACCTGCTTTTCATATAAAGAAGATATTGTGGGTAAATTAGTATGAGTAATTCGCCGAGGTATCTTCCTTTTTCGTTCCAGTTTCTTCAGGCTTCCATTTGACAAATTACCAAAGAAGCACAGTAAGTTTAATGCGACAATACGCTCTGTAAGTTTGGTTTTAAAAAAAGTACATAAACGGTATTGTCTACTCAGAATTCCGTTAATTTTCTCAAAAAGAACATCCACAGGTTAGCTTTTTTTGCTAAAGACTGCAAGTTTCTATTCAAGTGCAGCTCGTCATCAATTATTATCCCCAAGTATTCGTACTTAGTAAGGACATTGGTAAACGCTTTTTTTAAAAATAAACATTTTGTTCGTCCGTTTTCCACACCCCTGCGTTCGAACCTCTAGCCTACTGGATGGGCCCGTCAATGGGGGGGGGGGAAACTGCCCCCATTATTAAAAAGCATAAGCATGAAATATATAATTTGTTCCTGTGAATTGGCCCCCTCAAGCTGATACTGTTCCCCCCTTAATGCCTGAAGCTGGCAACGGTGCTGGAAGCTACTTCTAACAGGAGTTATTGTAATTACGTGCCTCACTTTTCCTGTTCAAGGCGTTGTGCAGAAGATATCGCTGTCACGCGCCCTTGGATGGGGCTAGTAGGAAATAAGAGCGACCACATTTTTTTTTCCTCCACCAAGGATGTATGCATTTTTTGTTGACTGGGTCGAAGTTTATTTCAAGGATGGAGCCCAAAATTAATGGGTCGAAGTTCGTTTCAAATTATGAACACTTGGTTGGGGCAGTAGGCCTATACCTTCTCACAAAAAGAGAGAGCTGGTCGGGGTTAGGTAAGACATCTGTGCGTCTCACAATAATCTCCGGGGTGCATTGTGAACCAGGTCATCTGCAGTAGGCATGCACGCGCACGCCATGGTGGTGAACGCACGAAATAAAACATTCGGTATCTACCATTATGATGCGCGACATGCGGCAAAGCCCCCCCCCCCATTGTGTCTTCTTTTGTGTTGATGGGATCTTTGGAATTCCTTTCAGATTTCCGAGGGGTTGCAGTAGGCACAATTGCTTTCACATGGGGGTCCCCTTTACTAGATATCGTGCTGGGTATCACACATTGTTACCTCTCAGCTGTAATTTTAAGCATTTAAGGCAATTTTTAAAGCTAACAACCATACCAGCCATCTTTGCTTCTATATGTATTTCAATACAATATTAGCCGATTTAAATAATCATGATGTGTTTTCATACAGTAGTCGCATAGCTACCACAAAGTGTACATATTTTGTTTATCTTTTATTTATTCTTTCATCCGTGCCTCTGGGGGATAAACATTACAGCAGCGTCGCCAGACAAGTGATAAAACGTGATGGAAACCTTGGAACATGGCGTACAGACTCCCCACTAACCGCACTAGTCATCCCGTTCCGTTGGTTTACGCTATCGTTACTGAATCGGAAGAAAACATGTTTGAAAATAGTATCGGTGGCTCAGCAGCGGCTAAACGGCGTCCTTAGGAGTTACATCAGTAATTTCTAGAGATATTTTGAATCTGCGAGGTTTGCTTGTTTGGTTTCGGTTTGTCTAAAGCATGTTCCGGTTTGCCCTCTATTAATTATGTGACATGAAAAAGCATGGAAACATTAGCCAGGGAACGTGACCAAAAAACCTTTAAGGTTTCTTTGTGGGTTCCATCTATCCAGTAATGAGAATAAAGGAAATAGGAACTTCGTAAACTTGTCCTTTGGGTAATATAGTTAACATGATTTGAAAAGCAGAACTGGATGCTGAACCACGTCGTATGTTTGCACGCCTCCCTGTACAAAATAGTTGCATGTAATGTTATTTTCTTGCCTGTTTAAGGTCAACTAATTAACTTTTTAAGTCATAATTTTCCATGTGGCAGTTTCTGGTTAGGGTTAGCGGCATATATTGTTATTTTCTTACCTGTTTAAGGCCACTTTTAATCAACTTTTTAAGTGATAGTTTTCCGTGTGGCAGTTTCTGGTTTGTTAGTTTGATGCCAAATCAGTATACAGAACAGTCTGAGTAAGTCATGCTGCCCCTTGATGAAACATGGGCTAGGTTTATATTTAACCTACAGGCAATTATAGTCAGCACTGAGTTAATTTTAAAGATGTAGATTTGGCTTCTGTTTTGTCTGTAATTACCCCAGATTCATAGGGTTTCTAGCTCAGTACTTTTAAGTTATGTTCTTCACGGGTTTTATAATAATACAAGGACCGTCTTATCATAAATTATTAAGCAATAGCGAGCAAGTAAACGATAAAGGTAATAAGTAATACAGACGCCTTTTTTCACAGGCCGATTGAACGTCCGAACCTTCGTTTTTATTTTGAATAATATGAAAAATACATTTACTCACTATCAATATTATCACTATTTCAGTGAAGATCCACAACGTACAAGTACTACAAGACAATGCTCTGTGAATGAATACTATTAGATATGTGAAAGAAGGATCGATCGAAGGTTGGACTAAGGTGGACGAAATCTATCGTCTTCTGTGCATCTTGTGAGGCTTTAGCATTGAAAGGGACGCACACGGGGGATATAGCAATGAAGGAACCAGAACAAGTGCAGGGGGTTCATTACGGACCATTGAATTCATTCATAGCGTAAAAAGCGGATTGGTTTGAATTTCCGCGCTGAGTTAAATATATCATGCATGGGAAGCCTGCGACGCTTGGATTCAGATATCGGAAGCGTATTCTTCTGAAACAACCGGAATAATTACGCTTTCTAAAGGCAAGCTCATGTCTGGATCGTTCTGCGATAAACCACGCCCAGTACAATGGCTGCCCTATGAATACATGTAGTTGAATGGGCACGTACACCTACGACAAAGCGGGGTGCACGCATACTTGTACATGCACATGGCATGCGTAGCGAAAATGCATGCACTGAACATGATTGTGTAGTCCACTGAGCGGGGGACCAGCCCACAAGGAAAGTTTAGAAAGTAGTCCCGGCAATTTGGGCATCCGCTGTTTCGTCAATCACGTCCAGAATAGAGGGTTTATTTCTCGAGAAAATGCACGTAGTCTAAGCTCACCAAAAAGTACTGAAACCACCTCTTTGCATTTATGTATTAAAAGTAGCCAGTATGTGGAAAGCTGGAAAAGTATCGAAATGAGGAATCGGAATTTAAGCGTGCTGGCATGTATCTTCGGAAATGCAACGTAACACAAATAGAAAAGATAAAAAAAATGATTGCTGACTTTCCCAAAAGAAAATTTTATCGTGACATCTGAGTAGGCTTGATATCGTCGTTCAATCGTCTCATGCAACAGAGAATATCCTTTCTTCTAATTCAGAGACAACTATTAAAAAGATGATGAGAAAAGAAAAAAAGACAGCAAAATGATTATGAGCCATGCAGTCTTTCCTTTAATGCTCCCATCGGAAGTGTATAATCATGGACAACCCTGCCAGTGTCGGATGAGGTTTATACGCGTGAATTGCGGTAAGCACCGTCTGCCGAAGGTTACGGAAACATGTCTAGTCTAAGGACGGTGAACATCTGTGCGAAATACTGTCTTGCACACTTGATAAAAAACAACAAAAAAACAAAACAATAAAGGAGGGTAATGGACTCTCTGTCTTTGTAACATTCTCGTCTCCGTCTTTTCTCCACATTTGCCTCTTCGTCTTCAGTTGGAGCTGAACCTCCAGTTGATGAATTTGTGACTAGCGTTTATGTTGTTGGCTGCGATGATCGATAATGAGTCGTGCCACAGCCTTATGAATATGATGAATTGTTCATTGTGGACGTGTGTTCGTGTGAGGGACGGTTGCACGATGGCAGTAATTCCCTCCAATCACGAGTCTTTATATAAAGTATTTTCTGATTGTCCCTCGTGATAAGTTACGAAAACAACGATTTAACATTTTAAATCACGAATCTTGTCATAGGCCTACAATCACAACTTATGTTCCAGACGCTTTATGATAATACTTCCTTCAGTTTTGAGTATTAGTGTAACGAATCAATTAATGTTATACTAGCAGTAGTGTGTTAGTGCAGGATTTCACGAGTGTTTTATTCCCAGGAACCATGATGAAGTAACTAAACTTAGCACTTCTTGGCTGGCATTACTGTGAGTAAACCATTATTCGCCAATTAACCCTCCCTCTTTGTGTAAATACAGTAATGATTTATCAGCGTCTTTATCGTTAAAAATAAACACAACACTTCATCGTCATTGTTTCACACCGGAAATCCTTCTTTACACAAGATGATGAGTGTCGCCGACAACAGTTTAGATGAAAATCCACTTGGAGACGTGGGTTCTATAAACATAGGTGAGAGAGATCCACCTTCCGTGCTGCAGGCTGTGGAACATGTGCCACGGGCATTGATAGTTCGGACTTCACATACATGTGGCTGAAGCACAGGGTGAAATACCGGTCATTGACCCTTGCAAGACCGTCCAGTATAAAGGGAAGCGAAAAGCACCCGTACAGTGTACTTTTTGGTTTGTCTCCGAACTAGAGGTAGATTGGGGAAATTAATTCATACAAAACTTTGATAAAAGAGTTAACACTGTAAATTAAAGGGAAACCTAGCGAGTTGTCCATCCCCTGTTGCAGAAGAGAGAACCTATAGACTGTGCGAAAGCAGATGTAAATTGAACATCACTTTTAAAAGGAAATTTTTGTTCGGAAGTTGGCACGTAGATTGTAAGAAACCATCGCCTAGGATCCCCAACAACTTGTTCGAAACAAGTTGTTCCTCTAGCAAATTTGATTTCGATCTCTCATAGCGTCATGCAGTCTTTTTTTTTTGTCCCGTTCCGAAATTATCCACCATAGCTGGTTTGCCGGGAGCGTCTCGTACTTCTGGAGGATGTGGTACGTAAAAATACGGGACCTTTTTTCTTTTTGAAGGGGGTGGGTTCCCCGTGAGTTTTAATAGACTGCCCTACTGAAAATGAGTCCCGAAAAAATGCTTTTGTAAGTCTAATATCGGCATATAAAATTGAAATACGGCGACTTTTTTGAATGACCATTTCGTTACAGACTCCATCGAGAAACTAACCTTCACCCGAGGAATGCAGCAAGAGGGCAGACGGTCACGGCACCTGTAACTGTTCAGACCGTTTAGTCTGGCACATGGGCCATGAGGCGGCGGAAAATGCGTCATCTGCTCATGAGCTGGGGATGGGACCCTGGTGACGTCAGTATGACACTCTTAAGGCTGCCACACTTCCTCCAGACTCAGACACTGTGTTCCATTTACTCCTCCGGGATTCACCTCAAGAAATTTTTTTCTTCCTTAGACTAAATTATTATTTTGTGAAACTGTGATATTATTGCATACACACACCGCGTCTGGACTCAAACTGCAGGAATACAACACAGAAATAGCTGAATCGGAAATCACCAAAGAGTTGGGATACAAGCTCTAATTACGTACAATGTAGGCTGCAGGTCATTGTCTGGGTTATTTGATAAATGCATACTTTTCACGCTTTTTTGACAAACTCGGCTTCTTTTGAATTTTACCTTTTCCAATCCATCGTTTTCATACAGTAAACTTAGGCCTATACATGTCATAAAATATTTTGTGTGGTGCTATGATCCTTGTTTGACCGACATTGTAATTTAATCAAAGGTTCCTTATCAGTGGATAATGATATGAAAATGAATTTAATCGAAAAACAAATTACTATTTCATAAGGATGAAATAATTGCTAAGACATTTAAGTCACATACTCGAAGCTTCACGTGTATTCTTCAGCGATATCCCGTTTTTATTTCACATGTACGTCAGTATACATTGTAGGGACAATGTACATACACTGTACATAATGTACACTGGACTGTACATGTACTGTACATGCACAGCACTATGCTGTACACCATTGTGGATATCTGATCTCAAGTTAAAAAGTCACCGACATGTATAACTCCGCCCAGAGAGAACTTTATTATTGCGCGAAATGAAATAGATTTTTATTCGCAAAAGTTGATCGCAGTATAGGAATAAATTTGTCTAAGGAGTAGGTACTACAACGTCAGGGACCACTTTGATTATTTAATTTATAGCTTGTCTTCACTTAGTCGTTGGAGTAAGTAAGCAATGTTTGTCCTTATTCTCTCGTAGCCCGGTGGCACTGCGGATGAATATTGCAAAGTTCTCCGTGCACGCGCGTGATTGACTGAAGTCCCCAGCCGGGGCATTTCGCGTGTTTGTATTGGCCCTTGATTTAGTCTGTCTGTTCATTGTGTGTGGTGCGTGTATTAAATTCTTTCCCCGCAAGTTGTTTCGCCATTCATGCACAGTGTGCGGTTCGCTGCACAGGTGGCACTGTTTCTCCCTGCCCTGTTCGGTTATCTTGGTACTTGCGCTGCAGAGCCCCGTATCGTGTTTATCATACGTAGTGCGTTCTTGTTCGGACATTTCAATATTTTGCTGTTGAATTGGGCCAGTTGAATTCCGTGCCAACATGGCCAGAACTCTAGCACTTTCTGTGGGCTTGCTGGCCGTGCTCACGACGCTTGCGGCGGGCCAGGGAGCCGATTTCACGCTAGGTACGACCGACGTTCGTAGCGACGTGCCCTCGGTGATTGACCAACCTGAAGATCCTGTTCAAACCTCCAACGAAATTATCGAGCGCAACACCGGCATCAGCGTGCCCTTTGGCCGCTCCAAAGTCCTGGACCCCGAGACCGAATTAAAGATCAACGTGCAGGAGGGCGACATGTGCATGGTCACTGTGCTCGCCGACCCGCTCTCGCAAATCCCAGGCCGATTGACCCCCAACCGCTTCCCCTGCGACTTCGGCCGCGGCGATGTCAAGTACGTCCACTTTGGCTCTCGCAAGCCCATGCGGGACCGCATCAAGCTGCAGCTCCGCTATGACTCTGAGACCAGTACCATCATCATCCCTTTCATAATCGACGTGACCGTGGAGTCCAAGCAGCTGGAGATCATACAGAAGAGAGTGCCTCTAAGGGTTGCCAATCTCACAGGAGTCAGCGACGTGCTGGACGGCTCTAAGCTGGAGTTCGCCTACGACCCGTCCCAAGTTTGCAAGGTGACTGTCCTCAGTTCCGCCAGTGGTTGGCCGCGCTACGGTGAAGTGCTTGGGGGAGAGGGCATCCTTGGCACCATGCAAGACTGTACTGATTTCTTGGACTTGGGTCTTCAATACCGACACACCTCCCTCAATAATTCTCCCCGCATGGACCACATCCCCATGGTTGTTGAGCTTCAGGACCAGAGTGGCAGCGTTGTGCAGCAGGAGTACTTTCAGGTGGATGTCATCATTGAGGACGGAGTTGAGAACAATCCACCCACTTTCAGCAATAGTGCCATGATGATTTTGGAGCTGAACCAGTTTGTCATGACTGCCATCACTCCAGAGATTATCGCAGCTGAGGACACAGAGACAGATCCAGATAAGTTGATTTTCAATATTACTGTCCCCCTAAACCCTGGTGAAGGTTACATTACCAGCACTGATGATCGCAATCTCCCCATTTCTTCCTTCACTCAAGCAGATGTCCGTGATTTGAAAATTGCATATGTCCCCCCTGCTAGTGACTCTAATGAGATGAGAATTTTCCAAGTTGAACTTGAGGTTGTTGACTCTGAACTCGCTTCTTCTGAACCATTCTCCCTTATGATTGTTGTCAACCCCAAAAACACCATGGCCCCTGTCGCAACCAGAAATGCTGGCCTAACACTGTTTGAAGGTCAATCCCGCCAGATCCTCACGGACCAGAACCTTGAAATTTCAGATGAGAATAATCTCTGGGATGTAGTTATTGCCCCAGTCAATGGGCCTTCCCATGGTTTTCTTAGAGTAGATGGCCAACCCAGAAAATTCTTCACTAATGATGAACTAAGAGCTGGCGTAGTCACATACCACCACGACGGGTCTGAAACTTACAGTGACAATATCATTTTCAGAATGAATGATGGTAAAAATGAAACTGAGTTCCTGTTCCCAATCACTGTTGCCCCTCGTGATGACCAGCCCCCTATCATAAATGTCAACACTGGCCTTCTGATCAGCAAGAATGAACTGAAACCAATATCTGAGTTTGTGCTTAGTGCCACTGATGTAGATTCTGATGACAGCACTATCAGGTTCATCCTTGAACCCCCTTACTCCACGCAAGGCAACATTGTAATTCGTCAACTTGAATTGCCACCCGATCCTCAAAACTGGTCCTTCCTTGGTAATTACTATGAGAGACCTGTCACAGAGTGGACATTGGATGACATCCTTAACAACCGTCTTTTCTATCGTCACAATGGGGTTCATAACTCTGATGTGGTCATGGACAGAATGCTCTTCCGTGTAGCTGACAGTTACCCAAATCTTTCACCTGTATCTGAGTTTGTTGTCAAAATTCTCCCTGTTGATGACCAGCCACCGTACTTGTACCCAGGCACCACTCTTGACCTGTCTGTTGATGAATTTGCCCTGACCACTATCCGAAAACCCAATCTCAGATACACTGACCAAGACAGTGAAGACCGCAACTTGTACTACACCATCACTGATGGCCCAAGAGACACTGATCCCAATAACCCACTCCCAGCAGGTCAGATTGTCTTGATTGAGAACCCTGATGTGCCCATTTCCAACTTCTACCAAAGCCAGATTAACCACCTGAAAATTGGCTACAAACCCCCTAGTGTTGAACTTGGCATCAGTCCTCGTAACATCCAGTTTGTTTTTGCTGTTCAAGATGAGGCAGGCAACATCGTATCAGGTCAGCGATTTACTATTCTGCTTCATCCAGTTGACAATAAGCCACCATCTGTGACCAACACTGGCTTTTCTGTTTCTGAGGGGGATACGATTGTTATAGACCTGAGCATGCTTGATGCTGATGACACAGACACCGAAAGCAGTCTGCTCACCTTTAACATCAAGCAGACTCCAGCCTTTGGTAGCATTATGATTGATGGAGTTCCCATGCAGCCTGGTGACACCTTCACCCTGGATGACATTGATCGTGGTCGTGTCACATATGTCAACAGTGGAGAGGAGGAGTTGGGTGATGTTATTAGTTTGGAGCTGACCGATGGCATTCACGTTGTACCTGTGAACATTCAAGTCAATATACGTCCTGTGGATGATGAAGCGCCAACTTTAGACCTACCACCAGGCACTCTAGGCTCTTTCCTCGAAGTTCCTGAGCAGTCGACTAGTCTTATCACCAACAATATTCTCAGTGCATCTGATCCTGACACTGAAGACCTCCAGCTGACTTTCATTGTTGACCGTTTCCCTAGAGAGGGCATCTTGGAAAACAATGGAATTCCACTAACTTCCTTCACGCAGCAGGACATTGTCAATGGCTACATTCGGTACAGGCACACTGGTGGTGAAATTGGACTCACCAAGCGTGATGACTCCTTCAACTTGACTCTGTCTGACATGTCTGATCGATGGGTGAAAGACAACACAGTCATCACACAGATTGAGGTTTTCGTCACAATTCTGCCAGTAGACGATGTTGCTCCAAATGTCACAGTTGGTGCTCCATTTGATGTTGATGAGGGAGGCAAGAATACAATCACACTTCAGCATCTCTCAGCAACTGATATTGACTCCATAGATGATGACATCATTTGTACTGTTATTGTCCAGTCCACACAGGGCTACCTTGAGAACATCTCCCCTTCTCCAGGTTCCGAAAAGTCACGTGCCGGCATCCCCATTAGCGCTTTCTCCATCAGAGATATTCGTCTTAACCACATCAACTATGTCCAGAGTATCCACAAAGGTTCTGAGCCTCAGCAAGATCAGTTCACCTTTGTTTGCTCCGATGGCATCAACCCATCCCAACCTTATTTCTTCCCAATTGATATCAACCCAGTCAACGATGAAGAGCCCCAGGTCTTTGTCAGAGAGTTTGTTGTGGAAGAGGGTGGTATGATCAAGATTGACCCAGTTTTGCTGAACGGTGTTGATGAGGATATTCCCGGCGACCTACTTGACTTCCACATCATCATCAAGCCGACAAGGGGAGACATCATCCAGTCACGAGCTGACCGAGTTGTCCCAGTGAAGAACTTCACCTTGGAGCAGATTCAGAGCGGTGTTGACATCTTCTACAAGCATGATGGAAGTGAGACAACTTCAGATACTTTCACAGTTACCCTAACTGATGGTGTCCATGAAGTGACCACTGAGGTGAATATCCTTGTTCTGCCAGTAGATGATGAAACCCCACGTCTTGCCATCAATGATGGACTGGACATGGAAATCGGTGAAACCCGAATCATCACAAATCGCGTCTTACAGGCAACTGATCTTGATTCACCAGACTCTAATCTGACCTTTGTAGTCCGCTTTGAACCAAGGTATGGTCTGCTGCAGAGGCTTAGCAAGATTGACGGCTCTGTTGTGGAAAACATCACACTTGGCATGAACTTCACACAATGGGAGGTAGACAACCAGCGTATCCGCTATGTCCATACAGGCAAAGAAGGTGGCCGGGACCTCATCAAGTTTGATGTCACCGATGGAACAAACCCCTTGATCGACCGCTACTTCTACATCAGCGTGGACCACATTGACAATGTTCACCCTGATGTTGTCAATGCCGGTGTGACGCTACAAGAAGGTGGACGTGTTACCTTGACCACTGACATCCTCAGCACCAATGACATCAACAGCCCAGATGAAGCCCTGCTCTTCACCATCACCGAAGGGCCAATCAAGGGTCACCTTGAGAGCACTGACAACCCAGGTGTGCCAATCACCTCCTTCACCCAGCTTGACCTGGCGGGCAATAAGATCTATTATGTCCACACCCAAGATGACGAGATGAGAATGGACAGCTTCCAGTTCCAGGTGACTGATGGCTTCAACACTGTGGTCCGCACTTTCCGCATCTCCATCAGTGGGGTTGACAATAAGAAACCAGTTGTCACCTTCAGTCCAATCACCTTGAAGGAGGGTGAGAATAAGCTGATCACTCCTTTTGAGCTCCGCATCACTGACACTGACACTCTTGACCAGAGCAAACTGAAGTTCACCATCACCCAGCTGCCTGTCCACGGCAACCTCCTGCGGGACAACAGCGAGATTGTCACAATGTTCACCATGGCGGACTTGAACGAGAACCGCATCAGCTACCAGCATGATGGCAGTGAGTCCTCCAAAGACAGTTTCTCCTTCATCGTGACAGATGGCACCCACACCGACTTTGCTGTGGCACCAGATGTCACTACCTTCACCCAGACCCCACAGAAGATGAAGCTCTTCATTGTTCCAGTGGACAATGGGCTGCCGCAGATTGTCGTCAACCGTGGGGCACCGACACTGAACAACCTGGGCTCCGGGCATCTGGGCTTCCTCCTAACCAACAAGTTCATCCGTGCTGAAGATCGTGACAGTGACAACAGCCAGCTGATCTACTTCATCTCAACCCAGCCCAAGTATGGCTACCTGATGAACCTGGCCTTGGGCAACATCAGCATCACCAACTTCACTCAGGGTAAGTTTACTTTCCTTTTTTGTCAGTCTTGGTATATTGGCAATTTCACACTGCATTCAGGTGGTTTATAGTCTTATCAAATTGGTGAATAATGAAGGAAAATAATCTATTTCATATCTCGTTACATGAATATAAAAGATATTCTATAAAAAATCAAATATGACTACGCTAGTCCTTTTTCCTTCATTGAAGTTCTAACTTTGCATTTCAACATTTTTCACAATTTACTGTGAAAACCACCTACACAGCTGCCAGTGACTCAGTTTGAAATGAGGTGGAAAAAGATTTATCTGTTGAGAAATGTATTTTCAAAACAGTGCAAGAAATATTGATCAGTTTCAGTTACATTGCAAAATTTTGAGGCCTCCCTATACTTGCACACTTCTGGAATTATTTCATTTCTGGACTTCCAAACTCCGTATAAATATTGAAGAAACAAATTGGCCTAGTAAAAGTGCGTTAAGGCAGCCTTTGCTCTTGTCAACATAAGTGTTCATCATTTAGTTCAATTTACAATATGGCTACAGTTCATTGGTTGGTGTTGGCCCTGTCTTTTGTTATATTTTAGTAATAGATCACCTTCACCAATTTTTTTTTCAAAAGAGATGTGTGGTCTGTACTTTCCACACGGTTGCTTTTACCTTTGTGTTGTTAAGCTTTCAGTGAGCATGCAGGAAGTAGTCTTGGCCAGGGTATTGAGCCCGCGTATGCTGTACATCTAGCACTCCTGCTTGGGGCGCTTGTTGCAACCTTTTTTCTGGTTTTTTTCCTTTTTCTTTTTTTCCCCTTTGGCTAGGCAGTTTGTGCAGGGCCTTGAGATTGATAAAGCACACCCTTAATTACTTTCAGCAGATGGTATGACAGTGCCGTGGCTGAGGTAGCCAGAGGATGGTTTTTGGTTTTGGCAAATGAATTTTTATAGCTAGCGTATGGCCCAGTGTAATCATAGCTTTTAAATATCACTTAGTAATTTAATGTCACAAAAATCTTGCTTGCATTCAATATACGTAAGCTACCTAACAAGATGTGATTCGGAAAACACTCCATTTCGTGTGTGAAGGGTTAGAAGGATCTGACTTGAATGGTGAATGTGTGTTCTTTCTAGATGTCATTGTTCTCTGTTCTTTCTGGCAATGCTGCATCCTTTGTATACGCCATTCCTGCTCGGGACTTGTCGAATATTTAGATATTGACACAGCTGAAGTGAAATGTTGTGATCATTTATTTCATTCCAGGAAGCACAGTTTGGCTTTAGTTTAGGCTGTCAATTGAAACAAATAGAGACTTTCTCATGAAACTTGTAGTCTTGGTACTGTGAAAATGCTTTTTTTTTTAAGTCTTGTAATGCATAAGAAGTTGCCCTGAAAAAATGAGTCTAACAGCCACCAACAAACTGGAATAAGTAAGCCAGGCAGTGCTGAAAAGGGGAGAGTTGCCTAGCAACTGTTAAGTGTCTGATCTGTTCCAGATTGATACTGTTCAACTGTTGCTCCAAAAAACTCATCTGTGATTATTGTAGAGGAAAAAGAAAATCAGAAAATTAAGAAACCCACAGACAGGACTTTGGTTGGCCGCTGAACTGTCTGCTGTACAGTGTATTGTGGCTTTGTTGATTGTCAACTCCAAAGTATTTGAACAAAATGTTTGCGCTTAGATTGGTTGATAATGCCAGTCTCAGAGCTTGGAGGTGGCATGCATACGTACATGCTAATTGAAAAAAAAAACCTTTAAATGTTTGGATCTTATGAAAGAAAATGCAGAGAAAACTTCTTCTGGTCTTGTGGGGTACTCTGCGTTTCTCAGTGAGCTAACCTCCAGTATTTCACTGAAGGTTTGTCTCACGGCTTCTTTAGTTGTGTCTCTACATCATTTGTACTTGTAGTTTAACTGTAATTACCTAGAGTGATTTACATGTACTAGGAACCTTCCTCATCTTGCAAATCCCAACACCATTTAGTAAACTGCACTCATAAACAGTTGGACTCTGTTAACGTGTGTTATGCCCAGTCCCACATAAAACACAGCCAGTTTACTAGTGCGGTACTCCTCCCAACAGATTTCAGCAAACCCTGGTGTTGGAGTTTGGCTGGTTTGGGATCATTAGGGTTAACTTTGTGAATAAATCACATCAGAACTCACAAAGGAAAAAGCCATGTTGGTCTTTACACCCATCTCACATTGTATCCCTGCCCACATTTTTAAAATCAAAACTGTTGGTCGAAATGTCACAAGTTTGCCACCTCTAACTTTATATAAAAGCAGGAATTGAGCTTCATATTTTCAGATATTGTCTGGATAAACAGAAGTAAAACTATGTTAAGGTTGACACTGAATGTCACCAACAATAATAGCAACCTGACCAAACAATCAGTGGTGGACAGGACAGAAGGATGTGTTAAGTGACTATCAAGTATTTCATTAGCTTCCTCATCTTCCTGTGAACTGTCCAGACAGGAACCATTAATAACAGCTTAAAATATTCTGGGGGGCTCCATTGATTGTAGGATTTCCTTCGGCTCTCGGTTAAGGTTCCTCCTTGTAGTGCTGTTATCCTGTTTGTTTTAGGTGGGATTCATCATTCCATTTGGAGAAAAGTTGTTTTGTTTGACCTAATATATCCAACCAGAAGTAGAAATGGACGGCCTAAAATGTTGTCCAACTAAAGGATTCAGATACTTAAAAAATTGCATGATTTCTGAAGATCTGGCCAAAAGAACATTGGCATTAATTAAAATTTAATCTGCAAATCATGTCGATTCTGTCCACCAGTGTGAGTCTAGCTCTCAGTCTCACTTTGTCTGACTAATGAGACAGTTGGAAGGAACTCTTGAGGGATTGGGCGGAGATGGGTAAACAGGAAAATAAAGATGGAGTCCATCCTCCGATGTCGGGGTGTAGGTGAAATGAGAAACAAGCATGATGCAGTGACTAACTTCCGGTTGCGTTAGATGGGAATGGCACTTAAGTCAGGCACAGGATATGATGACATGAGCATAAGAAGTTCATTCACATTTACCATTTCAGGTTATGCAAACTTTGCGAACAGGCTCAATTACATCCACACGTATCACTCCCAGTGCAGTGTATTTTAAAGTTTCAGAATGGATATGAATACAGTCTATGAGTGAGTGAAAACTCTTTCTGCTACACCTACTATCTACTTTGCATACAAATGAATTTTTCTTTCCTGTCTTTAGTCATACCTTATGTTGATGAACTTGTATGTGAACTTGCAGCTTGGCTTTTGTTGGGCAGTTAGGCCTTGAAGTTCTTTGTGCAGTATTATCCGCGGGACTAAGAAAAATGCAATTATTCTATTGCACATAACATGGTTTTTAAAAAAAAATGTATCCATTGAAGCTTGCAGGGGACCTGCAAACCAGGTGTGGGTGTTTCTGAACACTTTAGGTGTATAGGTATACAATAGGTTGTGTGTTCTGTCCACTGGGGTGTTACGAAATTTATTGCAACGATCAAGATTCCATTTCTGCGCCCTATTCCTTTAAACCTTTCCAGTGTAGCAAATTACAGGTGGGGACCCCTTTGCTAAACATCAAGCCAGAGTACACTGGAAGACAGCAAACCCTGCCAGAATCCATTAATAAAACTGTTCACCTAGGGGATGTGGTTTGGGTCAAAGGTGAAGGTCTGTAACTGTGAAGTTACCGTTTTTTTCTCGCTGTTTCTCGCTGTTTCTCGCCTTTCATAAACAAACTGGGCTGTGGGCCTGTAAGTCCTGTAACCTGCAACAGATGTGAGCTGTTATACACCTTGTAGTTGTTGAGGCTAAGGTTTTGGATTTTGATCAAAGTTCAACAGGTGAAATTGTGGAGAACGTTTGCATTTTGAATGTAGATTGGTACGTAATGTTGGCGGTTTGATTATATTACAGCCAACTCTGGTAGGCCATTTTGAATTCTGGTCATCACCATGAGGAAGATATGTCAAAAACATTGAAAAGATTTTTCATCCTGTTTCAGTTTGAGATGTGGTAGGTCATCAGACCCTTTTTTCCACAGTGATAATCAGCTTTCCTTTTTTTCTTTAATGAATTTGTAACGTTAATGATTTTGTGACCAAAACCGTCCAATTTAAGCTTCTGTGCAAGTTTTTTTTTTAAATTTTTCTAAATTCCTCAGTTTACTTGTGTTTTTGTATTTAGTTCAAATAGCCCTAAAAGTCCCAAATCCTCCAATTTTAATGTAATTTTACATTCACCCTGGGGGTAAGGGTTAATGGGCAGACTTGCTCAATCCTTCCTCTTTTGCTAAAGATGTTCATTTCCCCTTGGCAGTTGTTGAGCAGACAAGAGGATAGTGCTTTGTAATATTTGCCCCAATGGCCTGGCGTAATTGATTTCAAACACACTGTGGCAACAAGTAATCAAGGGCCCCTTGTTCTCCAGCTTGGCCTAATGGGGGGGTGCTGCATTGTTCCCCTCATCCCATCTTAAGTCTTTTGTCATCAGTCAAAAGCAGCAGAAGTTCTGTTGGATGCTGCCCAGAGAAACCCACTAATTGTCAAGGATTGTTGATTGTAGTTTAGGCCCAGAGGGGGGCTACCTAGTAAACTGGGGGAGGAGTGGAGTAAGGGGCTTACAAGTTCATGGATTATTTCAGGGCGGGGGAACAAGCAAAGCTACTGTGTACTTAGGCAAGAGCATTTAAGGGGTTCAGGTGTTGAAGGCTTGTTAACTTTTCGAACTACTGAAGATCACTCCAAGGCAAAATAAGAGAGACAGTTAGTGTTGACCTAAAGTATCTGGCTCATCCCAGCTCTTAAACTGCATGTACCTTTTCACTGTCACGTAATGGTCTCTAGGGTGGTTTGGTCAACACAAACTGGCCATTTATGGCTACTTTTTTTGTCTTTTCTGGGTAGATGCCCTCAAAAGACGAAAAAGACAGTTTATTCTCAATGAGAGGTGTTTTAAGCTGGAAGAGAAATTGGGAAGTACTTATCGTGAAGTGGTGTTTTTGTGGACTCTGCCTTTTGCAGTA